GATGAAGCACGAAATTATATTGTGTTTTTATGATTATATTTAATTTGAGATTTCATTATGTTGCATCGATTCATAATCTGTTTATGGTTGATGAACATATAGGTATATTACAGTTTAATGTATTTTTTTATGGTGATCAAGTACGAGATTAAGGCATGGTACAATAGTAGCCGTTCTCTGAAAGTGAAGTGATTCTCAAAGAACTTCACCATCTCATTTATCATTTCAGGTGCAACATCAAACTCACCGGAGTCGTGTTCCCCTTCTGCCCACATCGCATGACAGCCAAATAGTCTCCTCAATTCTCAGTGCAGCACTCAGCAGATACTGTAAAATAAACCATGGCGGGAGAAGAGAGTGGGACCGCCGAGGGAGGGCGCAGATTGGCGGGCTAGAGGACGAGCCTGCAGGGGCAGAGGAGAGCGAGCGAGCAAAAGGCAAGTCAGCAGGGATGATTAGTGTTAAAAACTTAAATTAACAACAATAATTACCTCAAACACTTAAACTTGTAAGGATTCAAAAATGGATGACGACCACACACTCAAAGGCTCAACAACTCAAAAAATCAGGGACATAAATTCATAGCGAGAGTCGGCTCATGAGTGAAACAGAGCGTGGGGTCTAGAAACTAGAATGAGTGATAAATTAGATATACACCAATTCCGTTTTACGGTACTCCTATCTAGCATGATAAGGCTCTACAAACATGGCCTATTGACTGAATACATCTATAGTTGAAACAAAATCCATACCTGACGAGAGAAGTTTAGCAAACTAAACAATACTAAGTCAAAAGGCAACACGAACTGCAGAAAAAAGCATATAATGAGAAGCAAATTACTACCTAAAACCTACTTAAAAGCAAATTAGGTATGAATAACCAGCAACACAATGTTGTAAACTAAAACCTACTTAAAATCAAATTGCTAACCTAACAGTACCAGCACCCATTCATTTCATCCTTCCTCATTGTAGCTGCCGTAGTACACCTAAAACAAACATTGAGACACCGAAGAACACATCTATAGTTGAAATAAAAATTGAGAAAGCTGAAAGGAATACTCTTACTGGTTGAGAATATCTGCCGAGTGGAGCAGCGAGAGAGAGAAATCGCTTGGGCGATAGGACACGTTTAGGGCGAGTTGAGATTGTACAGCTGAGAAAGCTCGTTTTGAATTTAGACGACTCCGCGAAGTTAATCCAAAACAAGTTTTTGCAGCTGTACAATCTCATCTCGCCCTAAACGTCTCCTATCGCCCAAGCGATTTCTCTCGCTGCTCCACTCGGCAGAGATTCTCAACCAGTGAGAGTATTTCTTTCAGCTTTCTCAATTTCTATTTCAACTATAGATGTGTTCTTCGGTGTCTCAATGTTTGTTTTAGGTGTACTACGATAGCTACAATGAGGAAGGATGAAATGGATGGGTGTTGGTACTGTTAGGTTAGTAATTTGCTTTTAAGTAGGTTTTAGTTTACAACATTGTGTTGCTGGTTATTCATACCTAATTTGCTTTTAAGTAGGTTTTAGGTAGTAATTTGCTTCTAATTATATGCTTTTTTCTGCAATTCGTGTTGCCTTTTGACTTAGTATTGTTTGGTTTGCTAAACTTCTCTCGTCAGGTATGGATTTTGTTTCAACTATAGATGTATGCAGTCAATAGATGAATATGCCATGTTTGTAGAGCCTTATTATGCTAGATAGGAGTACCGTAAAACCCTAACTAATGGAATTGCTACTAATGGAATTGGTGTATATCTAATTTATCACACATTCTAGTTTCTACAACCCACGCTCTGTTTCACTAATGAGCCGACCCTCGCTCTGAATTTATGTCCCTGATTTTTTGAGTTGTTGAGCCTTTGAGTGTGTGGTCGTCATCCAGTTTCGAATCCTTACAAGTTTCAAGTGTTTGAGGTTATTATTGTTGTTAATTTAAGTTTCAACTCTCAGTTTTTAATCACTTTAAGTTTTCTGTTTTTAGTTCTATATACACATAAAGTGCTGCTATGCTGTGGATGATTAGTGTTATTTAATTGCTGAAAAGCTGCCCCTTAGCTGCTGTTTTTGTCTGGGCCTGAAGCGACTCCGGGTGGTTGTGGGCTGAAAATTGTTCCATGCTGCGCGTAGTAACTCTGGAAAAAGTCATCGTCTCAAGTGGGCTTTGATGGGCCGATACCCAACATAGTTTAGAGCTAAGTTCACTTCTTTTTTGTTGAGAGAGCGGCAGATTATTTGAACTTCAATAAGCAAGTAACACTTAAAATTCTTTCTAATAGAAAGTCTGGGTTTCTCTGCTCCTTTTCTACCGTTCATAGAGATCGTGACCTGGTTTATGCACTCAACTTTGACCCTAAAAATTTAGGGGACCGTAAATTTACAATTACCAAAACATATTCAAGAGATAGTGTCTTTGTTGTGTTTGGTCACCCAGAAAATTTATGATTGAATTCAAGAATTATGAAAAGGTGTAATAATATAATAGATCACCCAGAAAATGTTAGAGGATTAAATCCATGCATCATGAAAAGGTTTAATAATTTAAGAGATAGTGTAATTTGTATGGTCACCTAGAAAATGTTGTGATTAAATTCATGAATAGTGAAAAGGTGCTGTTTCTCCTAAAATTGTTTTTTTTTTTTCTTTCTTTTTTTCTTGCAGCACCTTGTACAAATTGTTGTTTGATGAAATGACACATGGATGAAGGTACGTACCATAGATAGAGTAAGAACTTGTTACATTTTATGTAAATAATTCCTTTTACAGGTTTACAAGTTGGGATCGTTTGGAAGGTCACTCGATATAACAAAGTTCAGCAGCTACAACGAGCTGCTTATGGAACTCGCGCGGATGTTTGGGCTCAAGGCCCAATTGGAAGATTCTTTTAAGATCAGGCTGGCAGCTTGTGTTTGTAGGCCGTGAAAGTGACGTGCTCCTTCTCGGTGACGATCCCTTGCCGTAAGTTTTCACCATTTTATCATATAATCCTAATGGAGCAAAAGTAAATGGCAAATTACATCAAATTTTCAGTTTCTGTTGGCAAAACTAAATCACTTCAAAAGCCAAAGTTTTGGCAGAACATCAGTTNTTTTGTATGTGTTTTCTTGAACCTAATGCTTGTATGCTATATATAAATGTTAAACATTTTGTTTGTCCTAATCATTCAGGGAATTTGTAAACAGTGTGTATTGTATCAAGATACTTTCACCAGAAGAGGTTCAAGAAATGCGAAAACGGGGGCTCGAGCTTCTTAATGATGTTCCTTTTAACCAAAATGTCGTGTGTTAGGGCTACCCGAGCCCCCAAGAACCGCCGAGGAATATGAATGCCGGCATAGCTTCTGTAGGGACTATTAATTTCTGAACAATTTTAATTTCTTCCAAGTTTTATGTGTGTTATATTAGGATCCTTCTGTTTCAAGTTATAGTAGGCAAGAAAATTTGTGTTTCTAAATTGTAATTTATATATGTGTAGGCAAAGCTAATGTAATTATGATTAGCAGTCCATCATCATTTGGTCTCTACCTTTAATGCAAGATTAGTAATATTATTATTTGTGATTTGTGAGGCAGATGTATTTTCTGTTGATGGTTTGTGTAGAGCGCCATTGGCATTGCTCATCCACGGAATGTTACCCNTATTCATCCTTTTTTTCTTATGGTAAATGTTCAAAAAAAGATTTTGTGTCCTATTAGATTGTATGCAATGCTTATTAAGTCATGTAATTTTTTTTTAAAATTTTTGTAAATAGATATAAGTATGTATTTGTATATCCAATGATTTGTAGAATTTGGACATAGATTAGAGTAGTTTTACTTTTATTAAGTTATATCAATTATTTTTATTTTTATAATTAAATGCAACATATATTTTTTTATCAAGTAGTGAGCTAATACTGTGGAAGTCTTTCAGGCCCAATAATGTCGGCCCAAGCAAGATTGAATAAATGATACCACTTATCATCTCATTTAAACCAAACAATTTACATTAATAATCTCACATACTCCCTTCTTTTTTTAATAGATGTCGTTTTGAGAAGTTGCACACTAATTAAGAATATTTTTTTTGCCAATAATAACCCTCATTAATGAAGATAGAGATGGATATTTTGAAAAAATATAAAGAGTGAATATGAAAAGACATAGTGTATTTATTAGCTAGATAAGGGTAATAATGAAAAAATATGTACAAAAGATCCAAAACGTCATTTATTTAGACAATTGTTGATAAAGCCAAAATGACATTTATAAAAAAAAGGAGGTAGTTTTATTTAGACAATATGAGTTATTTTATTTACAATTATACCCTTTTTGACGCTTTTAGGTTTTAAAATATCTGACTCATCCTTCTTATATCTCTCCTTTTTCCCCTATTCTATCTACCTCATTTGTAATTCCTCTCTCTTCCTTTTATTTACATGTTTTTTTCTTCTCCATTATCAGTTTTCTTTCCCCAATTTGTTTCTCCATTTTTTTCTTTTTCTTTTTTCTTTCTTCTTCTTCTAAATTCACACACACACTCGTGAAATTTTTTTTAGTGTTCTTCCCAATTAACCAGCGATCAAAATCGGCTCTTGAAATATAGCGTGGGTGGTTCCGGCCCATTTTTTTGATAAATATTTGACGTCCAGGCTCCAAACTGGACAGATTGGGGGTAAACGGATATAGATTCCATAACTTGAATAGCTCCACCGTTGGACGGATATATGAGCGGATGTATAGATCGGGGGTAAACTGGACAGATATATGAGCGGCGAAGCAATAGATCTACCGCTGAAATAGATTCTATAACTTGAAGCTCATAACTTGTGTGTTTGTTGTAATTCATAACTTGAAGCTCATGTCCACCGCCACCAAGCTCTAGTAAGGAAGAATAGATTCCAATCATTGTGTGTTTGTTGTGTAAATTAATTGTAGTTTAACGAACAATTGATTTTGGAATTATGAAACTATGTTGATAAATTTATCAAATTATTTATCAGTGTATGTTAAAGATGTGGTTTGAATTATAGCTTTTGCGAAAGTGGATGTCGAATTTTAGTTTTCAAATTTTGAAGGATATTGATTTGTCTTATTTTTTATACTTACTTGCGGCAATTGATTTGTACTGCTCCCACTATGAACCTTTACCACTTAAGTTAAAGATGTGGCTTTAAATTTGTGGTTAAGCAAAATATTTTTTTTTTATGAACTTATAATCTATATCTATATCTATATCTATATAAAAAGAATTACCATTTACCAAAAATAGTAAGCAAAAAATCTGCCAACATTAATTACATACTATTTTGAGTAACTTTTTTTTTATACATACTTCAAAAAGCCAGGAAGCATTTGACTTGGTAAAAAATCGGATATGTATCTTCACTTGCTAATTAATGTTTATTATTTATTTATTTTCAAATGGTAAAAGAATTTTTATAATTTCTATCTCTTTAATTTTGCATTACAAAACAAAATTCAAATGAATTCCGTAGATAAAGAAACACGTGATGCTCAATTAAATAGAAAAAATTTATATTAAAATTTATTTTGAAATCTCGGTTTGTTCAGATCACTAACATACTACAAAAATTTAATAAATATGCATTAGATCACTGCTTTGTTCAGACCCATGTATCAAGTCATCATGTCAATTACATAATCAACTATTTAATTTTAATTTTTTAAAAAACGTATATAAGTAATAAACAGTTAATTTGTCTTCTTTAATATAATTTCGAGTCATAATATATGGTCATTTGTTATAAACATTTACTATATGAATCACAACTTATTTTTTATTTCATAAAATTAATTATATTTACGATAAAAAAGATGAAATTTATTTGGATCAACCGGTTCAGTGAATCAAGTTATTGTACATGTTTATTGGACCAATTTTTTATCATTTGTAAAAATCGCCGAAAAATATGACATAACTTTTGTTGCATCTTGGGTGACCATGTTATGAGTCAAATTGACTGAATTAAATCGATTATTGAAACTGAATACGGATTTCTTAAGAAATATTTGTTCCAATAAATATAATACAATTCAAATAAATAAAGTAAGAATGTTGTCATGAGGTAATGAAGATGAATGTTAAGTTATATATTGTGGGAAAGACTACAATCCATTACGGAAATATTTTGTCAAAGTTTTTAACTGTTAGATACACATGTAGATTAGTGGAGGATAAATAATATACTGTTAAAACCGTCCGACGGAATAGTGTCATAACGAGCTTTCCCTTTAGTTTATAATTCAATTGTTTTATTGTTTACCCGTGCATCGCACGGGCCACATACTAGTTTATAAATCTATATGAGAGTTAGTATTTTTATGGGAAATGGGTTTGCATATACAAATATTTGAGTGACTTTATAAATATTAATCAAGAGAGAATATTTTATTATTTTATTCATAGTTGTTTTCATGTATTTGATAAATGTTATGTTGTTTTATTGTTGTTTTCACGTTGTTTGATAAATGTTATGTCATCGTTTTATTGTTACTTTGATCTTTTTATAATATATATTATTAATTTTTTAAGTTACAATAACAAATATTTCTATTGTTTTTTAGTTAATTTAATTGTATTGATCAATAAATTTTTATTTATTTATTTATTTCTTTTGTTGTTTTTATTCTCATGTGTTCGAAGATTGAAGAAGAAATTGAAAAATAAGTTGAAGAAGAAGAGAAAAGAAAAAACGTGAAAAGAAAAATAGAGAGTGAAGGAAGAAAGAGAATAAAATGCGATAAATCAGTTATTGATTTTAAATTTTAAGTTAATTATTTTATTTGTAACTTCCTTTTGAGACAATTTTGGAATTAAGTATATTATGCTTTTTTAATAGAATTTCTTTTTATTAGGTGGTTAGTTATGTCTTTTGCCGGTTCAAAATTTGGCCCAAGCAATTCCTTTAAGCAGCAGCCCAAAATTTGGTCCAAATAACATCATAACAGCTCTTTTTCTTTTCAACCCTAATAACCTCTTATATCTTTCAGCCGCCTCTCATTTTGGATCTCGTCCAAAATTCCACGATCATCTTCCTCGGCCTTCAACAGGCGTCCCGCACCAAGTTCCGAGAGCAACACACAAGAGCGCACCGAGCCAGCCATTCACGGCGACGCGAGGCAGGTAAACCACGACGACCGAAGAAACTCCAGTTTCCGGTGATCTCAGTTTCATGGCAACCACGTCGTCAGACTACAAGCCGCGAGCCGCGACCTCGAGCCTCGAATTCTGGCGACCAGAGCTCTGTCCTGCAACTCGTTCTCGGAGCATTTAATTCTTCTTTTTTTGGCGACCGTCCTCAGCATCCGACCTTGTCCGATGGCTGGAGTAGATCCACGGCAGCAGCAGACCAGGCCTTTCTAGTCGTTGCTGAAACCTGATTTCCAGCTAGCCCGGACCAAGGAGACGGCGACCTTCACGGCGAGTCGAGCACCACGGACAGAGGGGCAGCCGGGAGCAGGTTCCGAGCACACTCTAGTTTCAGCGACCAGCTGGGGCTGAGGCATCGTTTTCCGATTGACCGGGAGCAGCCGGTTCCGGCAAGGAACAGAGGAGCAGCCGACGGCGGTGGCTGCAGCAAACTGAGCTCATTTTGCCAGAACCGAGAGCCGAGAACTCGTTGCCCAGACCCGAACCTTTTTTCCCCATTTTATTCCTGATGAAAGGTATTATTTGCTGAGCTTTTTACCCCCTTAAAATGGCCGAGCTTGGATGTTTAATGATGCTTAAATTTCAGTTTTGGAAGTAGTATTAAGCATGCTTAAGTTTGGTTAAATTTCAAGAGACGGTTAGTGTACTTTGAGGCCTTGTTTTACCCACATTTTGAGTATGTTTTGGTTGCCGTTTTATGCTGTATTTTTGGGCGGAAAGTATTAGTTTGGAGGTACTAAGTTCAGTTAAAAAAAAGTAGTTTTATATGCATGTTTAGATGGGTTAAAGTTTAAGAAAGTTAAAGAGCAATGTGTAGCATGTTTTTGCCTTGGTTTAGCTTAAGTTGCACAGCCTCAATTGCACGCAGAAGGTTGCATGCTGGTATGTTAAGTTATGTTAAGTTTCTAAAGAGAGAAGCTTGTGGTGGTTTTGACTTTTAAAAGAAAGAAAAAGAGAGGTGTAACTCTTGGTCTAGGTTGAGATTTCTCGAGCCTTAGACGTGGTTAGAACCTACAAAACCTAAGCATTATTTGAGCCTAAGGTTAGCCGAAGAAAGTGCGAATCCGGCGAAAAACCCCAGAGTTAGCCGCCTCCCGAGTGCATGGCAGGTGACCGAGTCATTTCCCACAGCAGGCAGTTGCAGACTGCAGCGTGCTCGCACCCAGCGTGCCCTGCGCCCGTGCGCCGTCTGCTCTGCAGTATTGGAGTATCACTGAGGAACATAATCTATTAGTAGTATTAGAGTATCACTAAGGAACATAATGTAGTAGTAGCTGCACTTTTGGTGAATTTGTTGGGTGTTATGCCAAAATCCAGTTAGTCATTTTCGTTTTTAACTTCCTCGTAATGTAAGTTGAATGCGTAGTTCTGTTGGTCCGTGTTGATGGATGTTTAGGAAACTGTTTTCTTAAGAAAATGAAATTGATTGCGTTTAACTTCTTCACACATTATAATTTTCAGTCGGGTGCTCATTTGGTTGCTATTAGCTCAACGTATTGATGACATTTGCATGGTATTATCCCTTTAAAGTGCTCCTTCTATGTGTCTCCCTGTCATATGGTCCGGTGCTTTGATCCTAATGTGTGAATCCACTTAGGAAATGGAGAGTTGGTCTGTTTAAATGTCATTATATTCTTGTTCGTTTACATGCTACTGTTGGCATGGCATTAACATATGGTTCTACGCGTAAGGACTTCCATTATTATATTGGCCCGACTAGTCTTTCATTGTTCTTATTTATTTATTTGACATTTACTTATCTTGCGTTGTTATCTCGAGTTACCATCACATATTCCACCGTTCCTCCCAAGTATCCCGTCCACTTTGGCGTTTTACATAGATTGTGAAAGTTTTTGAAATTACAAAAAATAAAGGAATTTATATTTTACCCTTATGTTGTGAGGTGTGGTTAAAAAGTTAAGAATAGTAATGTTACTATGGTTAAAGAATGGATAAAATGCAATTAAGAAGTTATAGAAAGTGGAATATGCATTTGAGATGTCCGAAAAAGGAGTATTTCTTGGACTTGGGGATTATTATTCTTTCTAAATTTCAACTGCTAGTGAGTAAAAATACTCTTCATCTAGTGGAATATGCCTTTGTCTCTCTGTAAGGTTTGGTATCTTTTGTTAGTCACTAGTCATATTTTGGTATTCCCCTGGCTTTTTAATTCTCAAGATGCATCTCCTTTGCTTGATTTTCTTCTGGCTCGATAAATTTTACTATATTATGTAGCTCTGCGTGCGTACAATTAACCCTTTGTGGTGGCATCACCTTGAAAGTTGAACCAGTCCTTAATATGAATTTAATTTGGTTCGGTGATAGTAGGGTGCTTCATGTTGCATCACAAGATACTATTGTTTCCAGGGCAAAGCACATTCTTAGCATCTTTTTTTTTATCGGTACATTCTTAGCATCTTATTATGAAGATATGTTGTTTTTAGCATCTTATTTAGTTTTCTTACCACATTCTTTGTCCATTTTCAGTCTGTTATTGGCCACGCCTCCCCACACCACTACCTATGGTATCCCATCCCATTCGTGGTCTTCTCCTCCTCCAGTGTCCCTCCCCTTATCCCACACCTATTTGATGTCCAATTTACAACGAGCTGATCTTCATTGCAAACGCATAAAGATTGTGTTTTTATGAATTAGGCAAGGGAATATGGACACTGGCGAGCATATTCGTGTCACTCTAAGTGCCAAGTTCGGGAAGGCTGTTGTCACTAACTTCTAATCGAATTTTACAAGTTACAAAACAATATAGTTTGGACTGAATTGGTTTCAAAACAATAGAGTTGACTTCTAGTAAATCCAAAAATATGGGTAGATGTAGCCTTGATAATCGATAGGTGGCGTTGAACTCATCATTTTGCCATCTATACTAACCTTCGAGAAAAACATCTAAGTAGTTCCCCTCTACCTTAAGAGGCTATCCCTGAAAAATGTTACTTTTAAAAGTGGCACACTTGTATTGACTGTCATGCCCAAAACTTAATATTAATAAAGTTTATTTTAATCGAAAGTTAAAAAACTAGAATAAAAAATAAAGTAACTTACTGCGATCTTGAGACTCGATTACTAGGGTCGAGTATAGTTCTCCACACTTTCTCAAATACTCCTCCTCGGTTAGTATAGTCTTGCCTCTATGTTTTTCCACTCCCACACCATACATCTAGCAGCACCTTAGCAACGGCTATACATGTCACTACCATAGGCCGACCATCTTTGGTTTCGAGATCATTTGTAAAAGCTCTACTTCTAAAAACTTCACCTGAATTATGTCCTATCACACAATCAATGGTTTTGAGAAACAAATTGGCTTGTTTAACAGAGTTTCATTAAAAAAATACGTATTGGAGTTTCAATAATGTAGTACAAGATTTGCATTCTTAAATAAGTTGGCAATTAATCTGAAGAGTTCCGAAGAGTTCCAGGGTCCTGCAACCCATTATTTTTCTTGCATCTACTAGAGTTTTTAGGGAGTTTTGGCTGTACTAGTACTAAATAAATTGGAAATTAATTCAGCTCAACTCATGTTTTTTTTTTTTTGTGTAATATTTAGTTAGAAATAGAAATAGAAACTAACGCTACTTTAGAGGTTTTTACAAATCCACACTGTTGCATATTCATCTCCCACAACAATTGAATTGCTTTTGATTGACACCAAAGTATGTCTGTAAATGTTTAAAAGCACTTGATCTTTGTTTACAGAAGTTGGGTGTTAATATTGACATGCAATAGAGGTAAGGAATTTGTATGAACTTGTGATTGTTGATATACGTGGGATGCTTCAATAATTTCTTCTTCTATTTTACTTCTTGGTGTCAAACGAACCTTAGTTATGGTGAAATCTACTTTGATTCGGACATGTTAGTGTTGAAGTCGCTATCCAATTTTAATAATACAATTTGATTCGAGGCTGAGCCTGCTAGAAGCTCTTTTAGGGGGGTGTATTCAATTCGGAATTTAAATGACATTTTAAGACTTTTTGAGATTTGAGACTTTCTAGGATTTTCAGATTTTAGAAGAATTCTATGAAATCTCAAGTCCGGAGGTAGGATTTGAAGTGGGATTTCATATAAGGTTTTTTGTTTAGAAATCCCACAAAATCTTAAAAAGTCTTAATAAATCCTAGTGTCAAAAAAATTAAATACCTCAGGATTTTGTAAGACTTTTGAAAATCCCAATTGAATACCCCAGGATTTTTAAAAGTTTTAAAAAGTCTTAACAAATCTAAATTGAATACACCAGGATTTCTAAAGTCTTAAAAAATCCTTAAAAATCTTAATTAAATACACCCCCCTTAATGTTGATGGCATTTAGAAAGCACAAGTACTAGTTTGTATTTTCTTTTCATTTCAACTCCACTAATATTTGTGGGAATGACTGACAGTTGAGTATTTGGGTGGTCCATATTGGTAGTTTTAGAACAAATGACTTTCTAAAAACAATATATTTATTGTACATTTGATAAGGTCGGAATCTGAATTAAAGTAACTGTGGTTACTTGGTAGTTGGTACATCAAATTTGGCGTGAACTGCTCATGTCCAGGATATTGTTTTTTAATTTTTTATTAATGGTATCAATCTATTTTCTTAGTCTTAATGGATATATTTCATTCAGATACGCCCCGGCAAAACGCACGCTTCCTCCAAACAATCAGAAATGGGTCATTTCTCTAGAATCATTTCTAGATACAAGTTTTCTTTGTTCCAGGCATTTCGTTCTTTGTGTTTGGTAACTGTTTTCCAAGAAAATGTAATAATTGCGTTTAACTTCTTCACCTGATATAACATCTGCATTGTGTATATAAATTAGTAAAATACATATGAGAATCTCATTATTTTATTAATTGGAATCAGATTCAATTTAATGATATATATTTAGCATCTTATTCAGTTTGTCTATATGACAAATTGTGTTCCGTTCCACCTTTCTTTGTGTTAGTCGTTCCTGAAGGCAACCGACCAATAAATAGAAAATACAAATTCTAAGTAAGATAATTAAATTAACCGCCTGAAAATGAGCATTATCGTTTTTCTAAATTTTATCGGAGATTCTCGATTCATTGATTTTGCATGTTTTAACAATTTTTTTGTCTAATTTCAATCAATCACCCGCTCCTAATCTATGGCTTACCATCTCATTGTCGGTCGTTCTATGTCCTCGCCAGCTTGCCTACTTCCACCACCAACCCACTTCTTGCCTTTGCTGGCTCACCTGCTGCCCCCAACAGATTTCTCTTTGCCCTTGTTGGCTTGCTTTTGCTCGCTCTCTTCTTCCCCGCAGGTTCGTCTTCTGCTCCCGCCAAGCAGCGCCCTCCCCCGGCGATCTCACTCCCTTCTCCCGCCATGAGTTTATTTTACAGTATCTGATGAGTGCTGCACTGAGAATTGATGAGACTAAATCGGAAAAAAATACATTGAAAGGGAAGGAACTTTACCCGGTTTGCCTGCCATGTGATGTGGGCAGAACGGGAACATGACTCCGGTGAGTTTGATGTTCTACCTGAAATGATAAATGAGATGGAGAAGTTTCTTGAGAACCACTTGACTGTTATAGAACGACTACTGTTGTACCATGCCTTCAAGGATGTTCAGGCCCGTGGATGGAGAATGCATGCTACAACAGTAGCCGTTCTCTAACAGTCAAGTGGTAATCAAAGAACTTCTCAATCTCATTTATCATTTCAGGTGGAAGATCAAACTTGCCGGAGTCCTGTTCTCCTTCTGCCCACATCGCATGGCAGTCAAACCGGGTAAACTTCCTTCCCTTCCAACATATTTTTCCCGGTTTAGTCTCCTCAATTCTCAGTGCAGCACTGAGCAGATACTGTAAAATAAACTCATGGCGGGAGAAGGGAGTGAGATCGCCGGGGGAGGGCGCTGCTTGGCTGGAGCAGAGGACGAGTCTGCGGGGCAGAGAGCGTGCAAAAGGCAAGCCAGTAGGGACAAGGAGAAATCTGTCGGGGGCAGTAGGTGAGCCAGCAAGAGAAAGGAGTGGTGGAAATAGGCGAGTTGGTGAGGCATAGAACGACCGACAATGAGATGGTAAGCCATAGATTAGGAGCGGGTGGCAGACTGAAATTAGACAAAGAAATTGTTAGAACACGCAAAATCAATGAATCGAGAAAAATATCCGAAAAAAATTAGAAAAATGGTAATGCTCATTTTCAGACGGTTAATTTAATTATCTTATTTAGAGTTTATATTTTCTCTTTATTGGCCGGTTGCCTTCAGGAACGACTACCACACAGAAAGGTTGGGTGGAACACAATATATGACATATAGGCAAACTTAATATGATGCTAAATCTATATCACTAAATTGAATCTAATTCCAATAAATAAAATAATGAGATTCTCATATGTATCTCACTAATTTATATCCAATGAAGATGCCAAATATAGCAGGTGAAAAAGTAACGCAATCAATTACATTTTGTTGGAAAACACTTCCCGAACACAAAGAACGAAATACTTAGAAGAAAGAAAACTTGCATCTGGAAATGATTCTAGAGAAATGACTCATTTCTGATTGTTTGGAGGAAGCGTGCGTTTTGCAGGGGCGTATCTGAATGAAAAATACTCATTAAGACTAAGAAAATAGATTGATACCATTAATAGAAAATTAAAAAACAAAATCCTGTTGGGCATAACTTATTGAACAGTTCATGACCCAAATTTGATCGTACTAACTACCAGGTAACCACAGTTACTTTAATTCAGATTCTAACCTTATCAAATGTACAATAAATACAGTTTTTAGAAAGTTATGTGTTCTAAAACTACCATTGTCATACCAAGGTGTTGAAGGATCTTGGCATGGGTGACAAAGTATGTTCTATGAATGTTTATCCTTATGCCCAAAGCACGTAGGCGAGAACTATGGTATGGGGTGTATTTTTTATTTTTCCTCGCTTTTTTGTCAGAATTGTATATTATGCTAAGCTATGGTTTTTTGGCCTGTTGTTGGATTGATCGGCCTATCCTTTATGTGCGATTGCAAGTATGGTGAAATACATACGAGAAGAGTTATGGTTTTTATTTGGATTTTGTGATCTCTTGTTAGAAATCTCATTGGCTGTCTGAAATGGAAATCAACCGATTCTTCCAGGAGCTGGTAAGTAAGCTGAGCTGGAGTCTTGTTCTGTCTATCAGATACATAAATATCTTAGGCGGGTTTGTTATCTTCACTTTAGGAGAGTATCCTCATCTTCTCTTTAGTCTGGTCCATCTTTTCTTTAGCTCCGTCCTGCCTAGCTCCACAGTACATTAGTAGATCATCATCAGTTATAACCTAACTCTACGTGATGATAAGTGCGTCACATGATGAATTCTAGCCAGCTCATCATGATGAATATGAGAAATTGCTTCAACAGATAACAACTAAGTATAATTTGGGAAAATGTGAAAGAATTAATTTAGGTGTAGTAAACGATTTAAAATCAAACACTGAACCACACACAAAAAAAGGGAGCACTCACCACACCTACCTTTAGTACTATACAGAGGGTGTAAATTGAGGCATGATATGTAAATTAAGGCTTGTTAATGTGCTTGATTGAGATCGTTAGAGAAAATCAAGCTCCATCGTAAAATTCAACCAAACAAACCGGACAGAAAATATTCACTGTATACTTGCCGACTATTTTACTATTTTATTTAGTATTTCTATTTGAAGCCTAAGCAATTTTTAGCTTGTTCAATCAAGTCTTTTGTATTGGTTTTGTTGGAATTTTAGGTACCAAAATCTAGATTTTCAAACAAAGTTCTAATTTTAAATACGCAGTGATGATGAAATTTAGCATACAAGTGATAAATCACTTGCAAACTATGACAACATGCCAAAATAATTTACTAGAAAAAATATCAAGTTGTTCCTACAATCAAAATCGCAACTAGTGAAACAATAAAAGGACCACAATAAAAGATTCAAACGTTCGGACACAGCCAAACCAACCAAATAGACAGAAAATAGACAAATGTGGTAAGCATAGACAAAAATTTTCCCCGGATCTCTCCATCTAAAACCCTTTGTGAGATTAGTTATCTTGTTTATTATGAATTCCTCCAAAATCACCTAGCTCGATTCCTTCTTATTTCTCCCAAATTCTTTACAACTTTTAAAAACACTAAAATCATGCTCTTGTGTGGTGTGTGTATGTGGAAATAAAACAAAAGTGTTGTGTGTGCTTTGTGTGTGTGAGGGCCTTGAACAGAGAATAAGAAAAATGTGCACTGTGTGTGCTCGTGTGTGTGAGGAAATAACAAATCGGGAGAAATAGGAAAAAAAAAATAAGAAAAAAAAGAATCAGAGTGGAGAGAGATGAGAGAACCTAGCTATTTGAAAAACATCGCCTTTGAGTGTCTTGGGATTTCTTTGTGCAAAAGCTCTGTGCTACTGAAGTTTCAGGTGCCCGTGGATCGAGTGGCCATGGCTCGATGCTAAATTCTTTCTGATTCTTATGGGTATATAACATAAAGGGGCCTGAGCCTGAGTAATTCATCACCACACACCACACGTGTCCCGAATTTGTCTACGTAAAAGCGTGTAGTCATTTTATCTCGTCCTGTTTAAAATTCTGTATTAGCTTCAATTCTCAGTTTTTAATCGCTTTAAGTTTTCTGTTTCTGTTTTTAGTTCTATATACACATAAAGTGCTGCTATGTTGTGGATGACTAGTGTTATTTAATTGCTGAAAAACTGCCCCTTAGCTGCTGTTTTTGTCTGGGCCTGAAGCGACTCCGGGTGGTAGTGGGCTGAGAATTGTTCCATGCTGCGCGTGGTTACTCTGGAAAAAGTCCTCGTTTCAAGTGGGCTTTGATGGGCCGATACCCAACAATAGTTTAGAGCCAAGTTAATTTCTTTTTTGTTGAGAGAGCGGCAGATTTTCACACTTAAAAAGCATAAGAAAATTCCAAGTTCTTTCTAATAGAAGTCCGCTTTTGTCTGCCCATTTTTTATCATTGAGAGAGATCGTGACCTGGTTTATGCACTCAACCTTGACCCTAAAAATTTAGGGGACCGTAAATTTTCAATTACTAAAACATATTCAAGAGATAGTGTCTTTGTTGTGTTTGGTCACTGAGAAAATTTATGATTGAATTCAAGAATTATGAAAAGGTGTGATAATATAATAGATCACCCAGAAAATGTTAGAGGATTAAATCCATGCATCATGAAAAGGTTTAATAATTTAAGAGATGGTGTAATTTTTATGGTCACCTAGAAAATGTTATGATTAAATTCATGAATAGTGAAAAGGTGCTGTTTTTTTTTTTTTGTTTTTTGTTTTTTAAAGGCTATGTTGTTGTTGTTGTTGTTTCTTTTTTTTTCTTTCTGTTTTTCTTGCAGCACCTTGTACAAATTGTTGTTTGATGAAATGACACATGGATGAAGGTACGTACCATAGATAAAGTAAGAACTTACTGGTTACATTTTATCTAAATAATTCCTTTTACAGGTTTACAAGTTGTGATCGTTTGGAAGCTCACTCGATATAACAAAGTTCAGCAGCTACAACGAGCTGCATATGGAACTCGCGCGGATGTTTGGGCTCAAGGCCCAATTGGAAGATTCTTTAAGATCAGGCTGGCAGCTTGTGTTTGTAGACAGTGAAAATGACGTGCTCCTTCTCGGTGACGATCCCTGGTCGTAAGTTTTCTAAGATAAACTTCACCGTTTTATCTTATAATCCTAATGGAGCAAAAGCAAATGGCAAATTACATCAAATTTTCAGTTTCTGTTGGCAGAACTAAATCACTTCAAAAGCCAAAGTTTTGGCAGAACATCGGATTACCCTTTTTTTATTTTTTTTCATTTTGTATGTTTTTTCTTGAACCTAATGCTGTATGCTATATATAAATGTTTAACATTTTGTTTGTCATAATCATTCAGAGAATTTGTAAACAGTGTGTATTGTATGAAGATACTTTCACCAGAAGAGGTTGAAGAAATGCGAAAACAGGGGCTCGAGCTTCTTAACAATGTTCCTCTTCACCAAAATAGGGTGTGAGGGCTACCGGAGCCATCAAGAATCGAGGAATATGAATGCCAGCATAGCTTCTGTAGGGGCTCTTAATTTCTGAACAAATAATTCTTCCAAGAAAAATTGTGTTTCTAAACTGTCTTTATATATGTGTAGGCAAAGCTAATGTATTGTATTTGATGTAATTATGATTAGCAGTACATCTTGGTCTCTACCTTTAATGCAATATCTGTAATATTTCTTTTTGTCTCTACCTTTAATGCAAGAGTTGTAATATTTCTATTTGTGATTTGTGAGACAGATGTATCTTTCGTTGATGGTTGTGTAGAGCTTTAAAACACTAATCTTTTTTCAGAATTGCCCTTGAATTATATCTCTTAACACAATATGCAAGGCAGTTTAATAAGGAGTAGTAATTCGGATACTTGAGATTCGAACTATCAAATATCTCCAGTGTTTTTGAGATAACTATTGATCTTATTTTTATTTTCNAACCACATAAAGCCTTCTGGTAAAGATATAATGATTTCATTGGCCTTCTATTGATATGTTTGTGAATATCCTATTAGGAGATAAATTGGATATAAATATGAATGATGATATGTTAATATGATATAAAGGATCTACAACCTTAGCTAAACAAGGAGAGATGTAGAAGTTAGATTGGCGAGGAGCTTCTGGACTTCATCCTACACCCTACAACATAAAATATCGTTATGGCAGCTAAGGTGTGTATTCTCGAAGTATAGTTGCTTGCTTTCGATTGACATTTGCTTGGAATTTTTATGTTATTTGTTGCATGATTGACTTATCACAAAACTATTTTTCATGCTATTTTAGTTCGAAATTTTCGTTATCATTTTCATAAACCCTGTCATTGTTGTTTGTCTATAAGATGCATTCGACATAAAAAAAAATAATAAATAAATAAAAAAGTCAATAAAAGACCACATGAAAATATAAATTGGTAGGTTAATTGTAGGATGTCGATACGAACCTTGAGGTTCGGTCTAATTTCAAAAAAGAACAATTATCTTCAAAAGTATAAGTAACAATCTTCACATTGGTTTTCAATATACAAATTATACATGTATATTTTTTTTTCAATTTTCCTATAGTAGTTTTAAAGAAGACCTGATCTATTTTAGAAAAAAACTTGGATGTGCTTGAAAGCTAAAAAAAATACTTTTAGGTTTCACAGTGTTACTTTTATATATTACTTGTAATGCTTCTCTACAAATCCAAAACTGGCCTTTGAATCCTTTTGCCTATGAAAGAGTAAAGTACAGCACAATAAAAACCAACAAAACTTAACCATATAACAAAAATAGTAACTAATCCAAACTTCTGGTATTTGTGTAAGTAGAGATTTTATAAGCCATCAAAACTTTAAGTCTTTAATGTAAGTAAAGACTTATACAGTGTGCGATGTTGACAAATCAAAGTATAAAGGTGCCTATGAGTAACGCGCATAATCATCCTGCAAGTTGGAACTCTTGATAATATTCACTCATTTTTATATCATTATATCCTGAGCCCTTTCACTGTACCTGACTGTCTGCTCCTTCACAACTTCACAACTGACCAAACAAAATGAAAGGCAACATTCGGAAAAAAAAAGGAATGACAACCTCAGCCAAAATATGTTGTTGTGTTTGATGATGTTTAGTGTTCTTTTATCTTGCAAGAGTGTTTTGTTTTCTTGTATAAGCTAAAATGGGGGATCATAGTGCATTATGAGGATGAAAATGTACATTATTTTAAATTTATGTACATTAACATAAGTATTTTTTTTTATTTTTTATATTTTGGAAAAAAATGGATAATATATTTTCTTGCATGCATTGCAGGTATAATATGGAGGTGCCTAGAAATGCACTTGACATAAAAATTGATCTTAAGTGCGGCTCGATGTGAATACTCCCAATGCATTGGAGGATTTATATAGCTGCATACATGGCTCCACTTTAAAGGTAAGGGTAATGAAAAGAGAAATCTATGTCGAAAGCATGAGCAAATGACATTGCTTCATATTTATTGATGACAGGTGGCAGGATAACATGCTTTTAATATTAATTTATAGAATATAGACATATAATCTTGGTACATATCTATTATATCATTAGATTGCATTAATTAGCTCCATCTGGTAGACGCTTGATATGATGAATGTCGTGTGATGTCATGTGAGGCTATTTTGGTTTATCAGCTTTAATTGTCTACTTTTAACTTCACTCATTTCAGACAATTTGTTTAGTCAAAACAAGTTCGACACATTATGATAACATTCAGATTTTCATGACATTGCATATTAAAGTTATACTAAATCAATTAATATGGGCCGACCGTGCTGGGCACGGCGATAGCCTTCTAGTTATTATGACATAAAAATAAAACACAACAATTTGTCTAAAAACTATCGTAGCCCTAATTTTAATTTCGTACGCCGCCGCCCTTGACACTTCACAACTCTTTATCATCAATTTTCACTTCAGCAGCTGCCATCACAAATCCCTCTATGGCTCTATCGTATTCACTCTTCTGTTGCAAGGCGAAAAATTTCATAGGTCGGTCCTCCACAAACCCTCGGTTCAAGATTTTCGCGCTCCTCGTCCGCCAATAATCATCTACGGCCAGCCAAATCGCCCTCGTCGTTCGTGCTCCGCAGTTTACCGTCGATTCTCGTCTGCTCCTCAATTCGCGCTCCTCGTCCGTGCCCTCTGTCCTCAATCGTCAGTTCACCGCCGGTTCTCGTCCAGTTGTTCGTGCTCCTCAGTTCACCGCCGCCCGCCTGTCCTCGTCGGCGCTCATCGTCTGCATCTGGTACTTTAGTAAATGGTCCAGTAGAACTTTGTGAAAGCAGTTCATGTTATTGTTCATTTGACTGTGTTCATGTTATTGCTCATTTGATTGTTCATATATTAGATATTTGTGAAATTAGTTTGCTAAGCTGAGGAGTTTTGTTTCGGTTCTTTGATTTTCTAGGGAGTCAGATGAAAATCTTTTTCTTGTTTGTTGAAATTTGAAGTTTATTTCGTTTATATATAGATTGAGGAGTTTTTTTTTCTTGTTTTAAAAGATTCACATGGTAACATCAGGCTGAAACCTGATTGATATTTTGCTATTTGTTGGACTATATAATATAGTTCCAGTTTTGGGTGACTGAATAGTGATATTCATAGGCAAATAGTCTACGAGAATTGTGCTAAAAAATTGTTACCGTCAAAATCCACTTCAGTAAAGAAACTAATTGATAGGTTGTGTATTTGTGTATTTGGGTGTCCATATATGTAGTTTTAGAACAAATAACTTTCTAAAAACAATATATTTATTATACATTTGATAAGGTCGGAATCTGAATTAAAGTAACCGTGGTTACTTAGTAGTTGGTACGATCAAATCGTGAACTACTCAATAAGTTATGCCCAACCCTACAAGATATTGTCTTTTAATTTTTTATTTTTTTTTATTAATGGTATAAATCTATTTTCTTAGTCTTAATAGGTATTTTTTATTCAAATACGCCCCTGCAAAACGCATGCTTCCTCCAAACAATCAGAAATGAGTTATTTCTCTAGAATCATTTCTATATGCAAGTTTTCTTTCTTCCAGGTATTTCGTTCTCTGTGTTCGGGAACTGTTTTCCAAGAAAATGTAATTGATTAAGTTTAACTTTCTCACCTACTATATTTGGCATCTGCATTGTGGATATAAATTAGTGAGATACATACGAGAATTTCATTATTTTATTTATTGGAATTAAATTCAATTTAATGATATAGATTTAGCATCTTATTCAGTTGGCCTATGTGACATATTGTTTTCTACTCCACCTTTCTCTGTGTTAGTCATTCTTTTGAAGGCAACCGACCAATAAAGAGAAAATACAAAGCTGTAAGTAAGATTATGAAATTAACCATCTGAAAATGAGCATTATCATTTTTCTAAATTTTTTTCTGAGATTTTTCTCGATTCATTGATTTTGCATGTTTTAACAATTTTTTTGTCTAATTTAAGTCTGCCACCCGCTCCCAATCTATGGCTTACCATCTCATTGTCGGTCGTCATATGCCCTCGCCAGCTGCCTACTTCCATCACCAACCCACTCCTTGCCCTCGCCTTCTGCCCCCGACAGATTTCTCCTTGCTCCTGCTGACTTGTCTTTTGCTTGCTCGCTCTCCTCTCATCTCCCCCGACGGTCCCACTCCCTTCTCCCGCCATGTATTTATTTTACAGTATCTACTGAGTGCTGCACTGAGAATGAAGGAGACTAAACCGGGAAAATACGTTGAAAGGAAATGAAGCTCATGCGATGTGGGCAGAAGGGGAACAGTACTTCGGTAAGTCACCTGAAATGATAAATGAGATCGAGAAGTTGCCACTTGACTATTAGAGAACGACTACTGTTGTACCTTGCCTTCAAGGATGTTCAGGCCCGTTGATGGAGAAGGCATGCATGTTACAACAGTAACCGTTCTCTAACAGTCAAATGGTTTTCAAGGAACTTCTCTAGCTCATTTATCATTTCAGGTGGAAGATCAAACTCACCGGAGTCCTGTTCCCTTCTGCCCACATCGCATGGCAGCCAAACCGGGTAAACTTCCTTCCCTTCCAACGTATTTTTCTCGGTTTAGTCTCCTAAATTCTCAGTGCAGCACTCACCAGATACTCTCACCAGATACTGTAAAATAAACTCATGGCGGGAGAAGGGAGTGGGACCACCGGGGCAGAGGAGAGCGAGCGAGCAAAAGGCAAACCAGCAGGGGCAAGGAGAAATCTGTCGGCAGGCGAGCCAGCAAGGGCAAGAAGTGGGTTGGTGGTGGAAGTAGGCGAGCTGGCGAGGGCATAGAATGACCGACAATGAGATGGTAAGCCATATATTGGGAGTTGGTGGTAGGCTGAAATTAGACAAAGAAATTGTTAGAACATGCAAAATCAATGAATCAAGAAAAATATCCAAAAACAATTTAGAAAAATGGTAATGCTCATTTTCAGACGGTTAATTCAATTATCTTACTTAGTTTGTATTTTCTTTTTATTGGTTGCCTTCAGGAACGACTAACACAGAGAAATGTGGAGTGAAACACAATATGTCATATAGAAAAACTGAATAAGATGCTAAATCTATATCACTAAACTGAATCAAATTCTAATAAATAAAATAATGAGATTCTCATATGTATCTCACTAATTTATATCCACAATGCACATGCCAAATATAGCAGGTGAAAAAGTCAAACGCAATCAATTACATTTTATTGGGAAAACAGTTCCCAAACACAAAGAACGAAATATCTGGAAGAAATAAAACTTGCATCTGGAAATGATTCTAGAGAAATGACTCATTTCTGATTGTTTGAAGAAAGCGTGCATTTTGCAAGGCGTATCTGAATGAAAAATACCCCTTAAGACTAAGAAAATAGATTGATACCATTAATAGAAAAATTAAAAAACAATTTCCTGTTGGGCATAACGTATTGAGCAGTTCAAGACCCAAATTTGATCGTACCAAGTAAACACGGTTACTTTAATTCAGATTCCAACCTTATCAAATGTACAATAAATATATTGTTTTTAGAAAGTTATGTGTTCCAAAATTACCAATATGAACCACCCAAATACTCAACTGTCAGTCATTCCCCACAGAATACAGAATTCACCAATAAGGATCTATCAATTAGTTTCAATAAGTGGACTTTGATGGTAACAAGTTTATAGCACAATTCTTGTTGACTCTTTGCCTATGAATATCACTATTTAGTCACCCAAAACTGGATCCTATATTATATAGTCCAAAAATAGCAAAATATCAATCAGGTTTCAGCCTGCTGTGAATCTTTTAAAAAACTTAGCAAGTCGAATAAGCGAAATAGACATCAAATTTCAACAAACAAGATAAAGATTTTGTTGAAAGTGTATTGGGCCTCTACAAGAATGATAAAGCTCTGCTTCAGGAATCCAATGGTTCTTTACTGCTTTACGATTGTCATACCAAGGTGTTGAAGGATCTTGGCATCCGTGACGAAGTATGTTCTATGGATGTTTATCCTTATGTCCAAAGCATGTAGGAGAGAACCTATGGTATGGGGTGTATTTCTTTTTTCTTTTTCTTTTTTTTTTTTGTCTGAATTGTATATGCTACGCTATGGTTTTATAGCCTGTTGTTGGATTGATCGTCCTATCCTTTATGTGCGATTGCAAGAATGGTGAAATACATATGAGAAGAGTTATGGTTTCCCTTTGGATTTTGTGATCTCTTGTTAGAAATCTAATTGGCTGTCTGAGATGGAAATCAACCGATTCTTCCAGGAGCTGGTAAGTAAGCTGAGCTGGAGTCTTGTTCTGTCTATCATATACATAAATATCTGAGGCGGGTTACTTCACTTTAGGAGAGTATCCTCATCTTGTTTTTAGTCTGGTCCATCTCCTCTTTATCCGGTTGTTTTGGCAAGTCCTGACATGCTATGCGTGCCTCCCTCCGGGCGGGTGCTACTTTAGGTTCTTTAAAGCTCCGTCCTGCCTAGCTCCACAGCACATTAGGAGAGCATAACCAGTTATAACTCTACGTGCATCACATGATGAATTCTAGCCAGCTCATCACGATGAATATGAGAAATTGCTTCACCTGATAACAACTAAGTATAATTTGGGAAAATGTGTAAAAGAATTAATTTAGAAGGTGTAGTAAACGATTTAAAATCAAACACTGAACCACACACAAAAAAGGGAGCACTCACCACACCTAACTTTTAGTACTATACAGAGGGTGTACATTAAGGCATGTTATGTAAATTAAGGCTTGTTAACATGCTTAATTGAGATCTTTAGGAAAAATCAAGCTCCATCATGAAATTCAACCAAACAAACCGGACAGAAATTATTCACTGTATACTTGCCGACTATTTTATTATTACTTTTTTTTTCAGTATTTCTATTTGAAGCCTAAGCAATTTTTAGCTTGTTCAATCAAGTCTTTTGTATTGGTTTTGTTAGGATTTTTGGTTCACACGAAGTTCTAATTTTAAATACGCAGTGATGATTAAATTTAGCATACAAGTGATAAATAGACAGAAAATAGACAAATGTGGTAAGCACAGACAAAAACTTTTCCTGGATCTCTCCATCTAAAACCCTTTGTGAGATTAGTTATCTTGTTTTTTATGGATTCCTCCAAAATCACCTAGCTCGATTCCTTCTTATTTCTCCCTACTTCTTTACAACTTTAAAAACACTAAAATCATGCTCTTGTGTGGTGTGTGTGTGTGGAAATAAAACAAAAGTGTTGTGTGTGCTTTGTGTGTGTGAGGGCCTTGAACAGAGAATAAGAAAAATGTGCACTGTGTGTGCTCGTGTGTGTGAGTAAATAAAAAATCGGAGAAATAGGAACAAAAAAAAAAGAAAGAATCAGAGTGGAGAGAGATGAGAGAACCTAGCTATTTGAAAGACATCGCCTTTGAGTGTCTTAGGATTTCTTTGTGCAAAAGCTCTGTGCTACCGAAGTTTCTGGTGCCAGTGGATCGAGTGGCCATGGCTCGATGCTAAATTCTTTCTGATTCTTGTGGGTATAAAACATGAAGGGGCCTGAACCTTTGTAATTCATTACCACACATGTCCCGAATTTGTCTACGTAAAAGGGTGTAGTCATTCTTAAACTCATCTTCTCCTAATTTGTTTAAAATTCTGTTTTTAGCTTCAATTCTCAGTTTTTAATCACTTCAAGTTTTCTGTTTCTGTTTTTAGTTCTATATACACATAAACTGCTGCTATGCTGTGGATGATTAGTGTTATTTAATTGCTGAAAAACTGCCCCTTAGCTGCTGTTTTTGTCTGGGCCTGAAGCGACTCTGGGTGGTTGTGGGCTGAAAATTGTTCCATGTTGCGCGTAGTAACTCTGGAAAAAGTCCTCGTCTCAAGTGGGCTTTGATGGGCCGATACCCAACAAACCCAACAATAGTTTAGAGCTAAGTTCGCTTTTTTTTTTGTTGAGAGAGCAGCAGATTATATGAACTTCAATGATCAAGTATTGCACTAAATAATTAGATTGTCACACTTAAAAAGCATACGAAATTTCAAGTTCTTTCTAATAGAAGTCCGGTTTTTTCTGCTCATATTTTTTTATTATTGAGAGAGATCGTGACCTGGTTTATGCACTCAACCTTGACCCTAAAAATTTAGGAGACCGTAAATTTACAATTACTAAAACATATTCAAGAGATAGTGTCTTTGTTGTGTTTGGTCACCGAGAAAATTTATGATTGAATTCAAGAATTATTAAAAGGTGTAATAATATAATAGATCACCCATAAAATGTTAAGAGGATTAAATCCATGAATCATGAAAAGGTGTAATAATTTAAGAGATAGTGTAATTTGTATGTTCACCTAGAAAATGTTATGATTAAATTCATGAATAGTGAAAAGGTGATGTTTCTCCTAAAATTATGTTTTTTTTTTTCCTTTTTTTCTTGCAGCACCTTGTACAAATTGTTGTAATGACACATGGATGAAGGTACGTACCATATATGGAGTAAGAACTTACTGGTTACATTTTATTTAAATAATTCCTTTTACAGGTTTACAAGTCAAGGTCACTCGATATAACAAAGTTCAGCAGCTACAACGAGCTGCGTATGGAACTCGTGCGGATGTTTGGGCTCAAGGCCCAATTGGAAGATTCTTTAAGATCAGGCGCTTGTGTTTGTAGACCGTGAAAATGATGTACTCGTTCTCGGTGTCGATCCATGGCTGTACGCATTCACTTTTTTTTTTGATCTTATAATCATAATGGGGGAAAAGCAATGGCAAATTACATAATTTTTTCTTGCCAAAAGTGCATTATTAGTCCTCTTAGTTTAACATCATAACAATTTTAGTTCCGAGATTCTAATTTTTCATCTTTTGGTCAAGTGATTTAAGAGGATTGAAATTACAACAAAATTTTAAACTACATGACTTAAATTGCTAATCGAAAAAATGAGAATTTGGGAATTTGTTGCAATTTCAGTCCTTTGAGTACTGAAATTGCAGGAAAATAAGCAAATGACTGAAATTGCAGCAAAATATTAAATTACAGGACCAAAAAGCGAAATGTTGGAACCTTGGGGACTAAAATTGCTATGACGTTAAACCAGCAAGAATAATAATGCAAGTTTGCATTTTATTTTTTGGGTAAACGATGTCGACTTCCAATGCTCGTTGGTTTTTTATTGCAACTAAATCACTTCAAAAGCTAAAGTTTCGGCAAAACATCTGTTAATTTTTTTTTTTTTCTCCTTTCATTTTGTATGCTTTTCTCGAACTAATGCTTGTATGCTATATATATACATGTTTAACCTTTGTCATAGTCATTCAGGGAATTTGTAAAACAGTGTGTATTGTATCAAGATACTTTCACCAGAAGAGGTTCAAGAAATGCGAAAACGGGGGCTCGAGCTTCGTAACAATGTTCCTCTTCACCAAAATGTCGGGTGTGAGGGCTACCCGAGCCGCCAAGAATCGAGGAATATGACTTCTGGCATAGCTTCTGTAGGGACTCTTAATTTCTGAACAAATTTCCTTTTAAGTTTCTATGTTTGTAATATTAGGATCCTTCTGTTTCAAGTTATAGTAGTAACAGAAAATCGTGTTTCTAGATTTTATTTATATGTGTAGGCAAAGCTAATGTATTGTGTTTGATGTAATTATGATTAGCAGTACATCGTCATTTGGTCTGTACCCCTTAATGCAAGATTGCTAATATTACTATTTGTGAGGCAGATGTATTTTCTGTTGATGGTTTGTGAAGAGCTTTAAAACACAAATCTTTTTCGAAATTGTCCTTGAATTAAATCTCTTCAACACAAGGCAATTTAAAAATTAAGTAGGTCGATCTATCATACTTGTTAAATAAAATTGCATACTTATAGACATATTTCTTTTTATTCCTTTAAAAAAATTACTGATTCTTAATGCTCGTACTTGAATTTTCTGAAAAAGGGCGATGATTGTTNAAAAAAAAAAAAAAAAGGAATGAAAACCAACCCCTTGAGAGTTGACAAGCAAACACCAGTTGAGTTTTCATTTCAACCAAATAGTAATAATGTGCAGCCAGAGGTTTTTTAATTCAAACTCTGAACACACACAAAAAACGGGAGCATTCACCACACCTAACTTTAGACTTTAGTACTATAAAACATGAAGGCATGCTATGCAAGTTAAGGCTTGTTAACGTGCTTGATTGAGATCTTTAGGAAAATAATCAAGCTGCATCATAAAATTCAACTAAACGAACCAACTGTTACTTGCCGACTATTTTATTTTTTCAGTATTTCTATTTACAGCCTAAGCAATATTTACCGTCGAAGCAATTTTATTCACTGTATTGTTTTTGCAATGTTGGGCTTCAATATAACTTATTAATAATTTAATAAGTTCACAAGAACAAGTTCATAAATGCAACTCGCCAACATAAATAAAACATATATGTATTGACACTTTTTCTTTATTTTTAGGATCTGATATGTAAAATTATTAATATCAAGCCATAAACACCCTTACATACCCTTAAGTGTCAGGATGTCCCTTGACCGTTGGATTTTAGGGATTAAATCCCATCCATCCATCTCTTTCTTGCCGCTCCACTCTCCTATCTCTCTGCTGCGCCCGATCTAACGCTCTGACTCTTTTTCTCTCGTTATCTTTGTTAGAAATTTGGCCCAACTCTCAGGCCGAGGAAGCCCCAGCCCAAATCCCGTCTGGGCTTGGCCCTCACTTACCCGGATTTATATGGACCGTTGGATTTGGGGATTTATCCCAACCATCCTTTCACCCTAAATGCCCCCATCTCTGTCTCTCCGCCTAATACACAGGAGACCTAACTCTCTCTTTTCTCTTGCTGCGTCCCAAATATCTCTCTCTTCTGTGAGACAGAAAATCGATCTCTCTCTCTGTGAGGAACACCCGATTGTAGCAGCTGTGAGTGTGAGTGACACCGTGAGAGCCTTTGTGAGTGCCGCCGTCTTGCTGCCTCTGTGCCGCCACGCCGTCGCCCTATTCAACCCGCCGGTTAGAGCTCTTCGTGGGGGCTTCCGGCGTATCTCTGTGCGAGAAGGAGGGGTTAGGCGACGGGTGACCGGGTGCGGGGCTCGTGTGGCTAAGGTGCATCCCGGGGTGCGGGCTGAGGAACCGGGGTCGCCGTTCGTTGACCACCACCGAGCCGTGAGTGAGCCGAGGGTGCCGGAAAGAAGGACTATCTGAGCCCGGGAGACTTCGTGCCTTCAATATCCGGCGAGATTCAGGCAAACACTGAAAACGGGCCCGAAAGAGACGACTAAGAATCAGCCTGGGCCCGAAAGAGAGCTGTCCGGTGGCCTGTAGACAAGCAGCACCTCTGAGAGCTTGAAAGGGGCTGCAAGCAGGTCGGTTGAGTTCAAGATGAAGCTTCCGCTGCCAATGACGAGAGCGGTGCGACCGGGACGGCCACACAACAGTGGTATCAGAGCGTGAGCCGTCCCGTCACCGTGCTGGTAAGTCGAGCACCTAACACGTAGGGCTCGCTCTGGTAAATTGGCTTGAACCCGACTTTTACAGCTTTCGTAGTTGTAGCCCCTGGCCGGGGATTGCCTGTTGGGAACTAGCTGCTAGAACACTAGGTTAGAAAAGCTTGTGTTATGTGTTAACTGTGTGCTTATCCTTGTTGTGTTGAGCCTGTGGCTATTCTCTTTTGTACAAGCGTTAAATCGTGTATTTTTTGCTGTATTGTGCTTAATTTCAGTGAAATTGTGCTTGGTGTTGAATTTCTGTTATTTTTTGAGTCTAGGTGTCTCATTGTATATCCCTTGGTGTTATATTTATTTTCTTGTGACTCTGTGTCAATTTGTTGTTCAATTTGTTGTTGTGCACGTTGCTGAAAATTGCTTGTTAAATTGCTGTAAATTAATTGGTGCTGAAAACTATGTGTTTATCGAGCTGAATATTAAATTGTGCTGATTTCTGTGCGATTTTAGGTGCTGAAATATCTGATTTTGGGCTGAATTCTGTGTGTTTTAATTGCTGTGATTTTGCTGCTATTCTCTTATTTGAACTGGTGTGTTTTTTGTGAAAATGGCTTCATTTCCGGCTTTTAATTTGGCCCCGTTTGACGAGAAATCTGATTTTTCAATTTGGCAACAAAAAATGAAAGGGATATTAATTCAACAGAGAGTGTTTAAAGCCGTTGAAGGCTCGTTTTCAATTTGTGTTGTTTCTTTTAAAAGGAACTGATGTTTTTTCTTTTAAAATGGCATTGTTTCCGACTTTTAACTTTGCCCCGTTTGACTAAAAGAAAACGACTTTGTTTCTAGCCGTTGGTGGCTCGATTTCACATGATGAGTCTGGCTCATCATCAAAAGGTAAAGTGGAATAAAGTGAAAGATAAAGTGGTTGAAATGGGTCAATTTGTTTATTTGTCTATTGTCTTGAATTTGTCCTAGGAAAGTTGGTAAAATAAATTATGCTAAAGAGAAAATTTGGAAGAAAATGACTTCAGTTTGATATTCCACTAACTTGTTGCTTAAAAATTCTTGCTTGAAAAATTTTACGAAATTCTTTAAATGGTAAACTAAATTTCTTTACTTGGTAAACTAAATTCTTGCTTGAAAAATGTTTTCCGTTCAAACTTGATCTTTATCTCTTAATATATTTACTTGTTGGATATTATATAATTGAGGACATTAAATAATTGATTGGTGATGGTGATAGGTGATATGCATATTGATGATTTTACTTCTATTGTGCTTTTATTAAATGCTTTTCCTATAATTCTTGTAGTGTTGCGTAAGTACACTTACGCTATTGTGAATGGGTTAAAAAGTAAGAATTAGATTTGAAGTTAATATGGGGAGTAGAAATTTGCGTGAGGTTCATTTAGAGGTAGGCAACAAAATAAATTAAAAAATCAAAAGCCTGCTAATAATGGTAACCAACTTGATGAAAAGAATGGTAAAGCAAAGAGCCGTTCTAAATTATGTCATAAAAGTTGTAAGTTTTATAATTATGGTAACATAAGACATTATGCTAAAGAGTACTAAATAAGAAGAATCATGCTAATATGGTCTATGGTCTTGAATAGTGATAATTGGTGTGTTTGTGGTGACTGAAATGTGTAATATGCATGTCTATGTGAATTTTGTGCAAAACGCACGCTTCCTCCAATCAATCATAAATGGGTCATTGAATCATTTCTAGATGCAAGTTTTCTTTCTTTCAGGTATTTCGTTCTTTGTGTTCGGGAACTGTTTTCCCAAAAAAATGTAATTGATTGCGTTTTAACTTTTTCACCTGCTAAATTTGGCATCTGCATTGTGTATATAAATTAGTGAGATACATATGAGAATCTCATTATGTTATTTATTGGAATTAGATTCAATTTAGTGATATAGATTTATCATCTTATTCAGTTTGCCTATATGACATATTGTGCCACTCCACCTTTCTCTGTGTTAGTCGTTCCTGAAGTCAACCAACTAATAAAGAGAAAATACGAACTCTAAGTAAGATAATGAAATTAACTGTCTGAAAATGAGCACTACCATTTTTCTAATTTTTTTCGGAGATTTTTCTCGATTAATTGATTTTACATGTGCTAACAATTTCTTTGCCTAAAAATTAGTCTACCACCCGCTCCCAATCTATGGCTTACCATCTCATTGTCGGTCGTTCTATACCCTCGTTAGCTCGCCTACTTCCACCACCAACCCACTCCTTGCCCTTGCTGGCTCGCCTGCTGTCCCCGACAGATTTCTCCTTGCCCCTGGTGCCTTGTCTTTTGCTCGCTCGCTCTCCTCTGCCCTCGCTGGCTCGTACTCTGCCCCGCCAAGCAGCGCTCTCCCCCCGGCGGTCCCACTCCCTTCTCTCGCCATGAGTTTATTTCACAGTATTTGCTGAGTGCTGCACTGAGAATTAAGGAGACTAAACTGGGAAAAATACGTTAGAAGGGAAGGAAGTTTATCCGGTTTGGCTGCCATGCGATATGGGCAGAAGGGAACATGACTCCAGTGAGTTTGATGTTCCATCTGAAATGATAAATGAGATGGAGAAGTTCCTTGAGAATGACTTGACTGTTAGAGAACGACTACTATTGTACCGTGACGTTCTCTGACAGTCAAGTGGTTCTCAAGGAACATTTCCATCTCATTTATCATTTCAGGTGGTGGAAGATCAAACTCACCGGATTCACCAGAGTTCTTTTCCCTTCTGCCCACATCGCATGACAGCCAAACCGGATAAACTTCCTTCCCTTCTAACGTATTTTTCCCAATTTAGTCTCCTTAATTCTCAGTGCAGCACTTAGCAGATACTGTAAAATAAACTCATGGCGGGAGAAGAGGGTGGGACCGCCGGGGGAGGGCGCTGCTTGGCGGGGCAGAGGACGAGCCTGCGGGGACAGAGGGGAGCGAGCAAAAGGCAAGCCAGTAGGGGCAAGGAGAAATCTGTCGACGCAGCAGGCGAGCCAGCAAGGGCAAGGAGTGGGTTTGTGGTGGAAGTAGACGAGCTGGCGAGGGCATAGAACGACCACAATGAGATGGTAAGCCATAAATTGGGAGCGGGTGGCAGACTGAAATTAGACAAAGAAATTGTTAGAACATGCAAAATCAATGAATTGAGAAAAATCTCCGAAAAAAATTTAAAAAAATGGTAATGCTTATTTTCAAACGGTTAATTTCATTATCTTACTTAGAGTTTGTATTTTCTCTTTATTAACCCGTTGCCTTGAGAAAGGTGGAACACAATATGTCATATAGGCAAACTGAATAAGATGCTAAATCTATATCACTAAAGTGAATATGATTCCAATAAATAAAAGGGTTAATTGCAGATAAAACCCTAACCTTTTGTTAAAGTGCAGATAAAACTCCACTTTATAAGTTTGGCAAAATAAATACTAATCTTTCATAAGTGTTGCAATTGTGTCTCAACCGCCACCCGCCGCAGGCCAACTTCGCCGGATGTTGAAAATTTTTACATAATATTGTAGCTCTCGTCCGTGCCGATAACATATCCGAGTTTCACGAAAAAATTTCGACGATAAAGAGATGACCGGAAAAAGTTACCGATTCCGGCGAAGATGGATGTCACTAGATGCGGCTTTGCGAGAGGAGTTCAACGGTACCTTCGGATTCACGTGGGTCAAAGCGAGTCACCGACAATTTGCGAAAGAGTCAGATAAAATTTGTAGATCTACGAGCTTTGACCGAAAAATTGGAAGCCTTATCGTAGGAATTTTTTCGTGAAACTCGGATATGTTGTCGGCACGGAGGAGAACTACAAGATCATGTAAAAATTTTCAACATCCGGCGAAGTTGGCCGGTGGCGGGTGGTGGTTGGCGGCGGCAAGTGGTGGTTGAGACACAATTGCAACACTTATGAAAGGTTAGTATTTTTTTTGTCAAACTTATAAAGTGGAGTTTTATCTGCAATTTAACAACAAAAGGTTAGGGTTTTATCTGCAATTAACCCTTTTATTTATTGGAATCATATTCACTTTAGTGATATAGATTTAGCATCTTATTCAGTTTGCCTATATGACATATTGTGTTCCACCTTTCTCAAGGCAACGGGTTAATAAAGAGAAAATACAAACTCTAAGTAAGATAATGAAATTAACCGTCTGAAAATAAGCATTACCATTTTTCTAAATTTTTTTCGGAGATTTTTCTCGATTCATTGAAGTTATTTGGACTCGGGTCAATGCGTGCGTTTTGGGCCTATTCCATTAGATGAACAACTCAGTGGGTTAGCAGTATTTTACTCACTAGCAGTTGAAATTTACACTATATACACAAATACATTCTTAGCATCTTATAACCACTATATACAAAAATTCACAACATTTTAATTCCGAAATGACGTTAAATCATGGAAAAGAGCATATCATCAAAAGATCTTCTAAAGAATATAGTACTACTCATTCCAAAATTCAACAACAAACAATAACATCTTTTAAGGAAACACAAAGAACAAAATACCTGGAAAAAAGAACGATTGATTTGGAAAGGACTCCAAAGAAAAATCCCATTTCTGATATTTTGGTGACCGGAGGCGGCGGCAGCAGTGGTAGACTGGTAGGCGAGTTATAACGAAGGGGGCCTGGGGATGGCAGATTGCTTGCGGGCTATGGCTTGAATGGATTACAATTGAGCAGGACAATGGCGGTCATTTTGCCGGCGGTGGCAGAGCGATGAGGAGAAATGAAGATAAGGGTTTGGTTTTGGGGGAAGCGTGTGTTTCGGCAAATTGAAGTTATTTGGACTCGGGTCAATGCGTGCGTTTTGGGCCTTTGGCAAATTGAAGTTATTTGGACTCGGGCCATTGGACTCAGATCAATTTGATGGGCTTAGCTAGGGGNCAAACAATTAACGACCGAACTTGTTTGGTTTGAATTGATAATTCGAACCCCTAGCTAAGCCCATCAAATTGATCCGAGTCCAATGGCCCGAGTCCAAATAACTTCAATTTGCCAAAGGCCCAAAACGCACGCATTGACCCGAGTCCAAATAACTTCAATATGCCGAAACGCACGCTTCCCCCAAAACCAAACCCTTATCTTCATTTCTCCTCATCGCTCTGCCACCGCCGGCAAAATGACCGCCATTGTCCTGCTCAGTTGTAATCCATTCAAGCCATAGCCCGCAAGCAATCTGCCAGCCCCAGGCCCCCTTCGTTACAACTCGCCTACCAGTCTACCACTGCTGCCGCCGCCTCCGGTCACCAAAATATCAGAATTGGGATTTTTCTTTGGAGTCCTTTCCAAATCAATCGTTCTTTTTTCCAGGTATTTTGTTCTTTGTGTTTCCTTAAAAGATGTTATTGTTTGTTGTTGAATTTTGGAATGAGTAGTACTATATTCTTTAGAAGATCTTTTGATGATATGCTCTTTTCCATGATTTAACGTCATTTCGGAATTAAAATGTTGTGAATTTTTGTATATAGTGGTTATAAGATGCTAAGAATGTATTTGTGTATATAGTGTAAATTTCAACTGCTAGTGAGTAAAATACTGCTAACGAGTTGTTCATCTAATGGAATATGCGCTTGTCTCTCTTGATATCTTTTGTTAGTCACTAGTCATATTTTGGTATTCCCCTGCCTTTTTAGTTTCAAGATGCATCTTCATTGCTGATTTTCTTCCACGTGTTATGGCTTGATAAATTTTACTAATGATGTAGTTGTGAATGTGTACACTATCCTTTATAGTGGCATCACCTTGAAAGTTGAACCTGTCTTTAATAGGAATGAACTGTCACCACAATCGATATGATTTGATTTTAGTATGGTGCTTCATGCTGCAGCACAAGATAGTGTTGTTTTTAACCTTCCAGTGCAAACCACATTCTTAGCATCTTATTATGAAGATATGTTGTTTTTAGCATCTTATTCATTTTTCTAACACTTTTTGTCTATTTTCAGTCTGCCATCGGCCGCGCTCCCCCTCACAACCCTACCTATGGTATCTCATCCCATTGGTGGTCGTCCCCTACCAACAGTGGCCCTCTCCCTGTCCTCGTCGGTCCTTTCCCTGCCCTCGTCGGGCCTTTCTCTACCCTGACCCCTCCTGCCCTCGCTAGCCATTTCTCAACCAGCGCGAGCATGACCCCTGCCGTCGACGACCATTTCTCGACAACCGACAACCCGACCGCTGCACCGCCCCCTCCCCCTTCGTAAGTAATCTTCTACTTAGATTGCAAGCATACTCATTCGTTACTGGGGAAGAAAAGATGATGTTTTTCCAGTTTTGAATCTCAATAGCACTAACTTCTAACTAAGATAACATCAACTCTTAATCGAATTTACAAGTTATAAAAACAATAAAAGTGCGCTGAATTCGGTTACAAAAAAGAGTTGACTTCACAAAATCAATATATCCAAAAATATGTGCTGCACAAAATCAATATATCCAAAAGTATGTGCTGTGATAGTCCTAGAAATCGACCGAAGTCGTCGGACAGAGAATTTTTCCATTCTCAACCATGACGGACCATTCGAGAAAAACAACATCCCTCGAGTAGTCCGTCTTCACCTTATACAGTCGAATCTTTTGAAATATGTTGCTCTAAAAAGTGGAACACAGGTATCTATAGTAATGCGCAAAACCAACCCTAAGAAAAAAATATTTTAATCGTAAGTAAAAAAAAAATTGTAAAAAAAAAAATAAAAAAACTTACTGGGATCCTTAGACTCGCGTACTAGAGTCGAGTATAGGTATGCACAATCTGCCAAATACTCCTTTCAACTCAGTCGAGTGTTGTATCTATCTCGGCTGTAAGCTCACACCATGGATCTCACGGAAGCTTGGCGAAGTGTATCCGGCTGATTATCAGATGCCCGAACATCCGAGAAGGCCTTGAGTAAGACATCCTGATCGTGAAGTGTGAAGTTCTCCCGAAGGAATGTCTCCATGTCCTGAATCATCTCTTTAGTAACACCAAACCACGCACTGTCAACAACGTTTTCGGCTCGGATGCCATGGCATCCAAACTGCGCGAAATATCTTCCCTCCCAATTTATATTTTTTTTTGTTTGGGTCAGAATCAACATTCATGGCAACACTTATCAAGTACTGAAGTATGAACTCAAGGCGGGGATAACACCAAACTCCGCACTGTCTTTCGGCTCGGACCCTGACCCTTCGGCCCCTTCAAACTCGGACTCGGACCTGCAGACCCACTCCCCCCGCCTTGAGTTCATACTTCAGTACTTGATGAGTGTTGTCGTGAAGGTTGATTCTGACCCAAACAAAAAAAACATAAATTGAGAGGGAAGATATTTCGCGCAGTTTGGATGCCATGGCATCCGAGCCGAAAACGCTGTTGACAGTGCGGAGTTTGGTGATACTGAAGAGATGATTGAGGACATGGAGACATTCCTTCGGAAGAACTTCACACTTCACGATCAAGATGTCTTACTCGAGGCCTTCTCGGATGTTCGGGCCTCTGATAATCAGCCGGATACACTTCGCTAACCTTCCGTGAGATCCATGGTGTGTGCTTACGGCCGACATGGATACAACACTCGACTGAGTTGAAAGGAGTATTTGGCATATTGCGCAAACATATACACGAGTCTAAGGATCCCAGTAAGTTTTTTTTGTTTTTTTTTTATAAATTTTTTACTTACGATTAAAATATTTTTTTGTTAGGGTTGAGTTTTGCGCATTACTGTAGATACCAATTCCACTTTTCAGAGCAACATATTTCAGAAGATCCGACTGTATAAGGTGAAGACGGACTATTCGAGGGATAGTTGTTTTTCTCGAAGGGTCCGTCATGGTTGCCAATGGAAAAATTCTTTGTCCGATGCCTCCGGTCGATTTCCAGGGCTATCACAGCACATACTTTTGGATATACTGATTTTGTGCAGCACATAGTTTTGAAGATATTGATTTTGTGAAGTCTAACTCTGTTTTGTAACCGAATTACTCTTATTGTTTTTGTAACTTGTAAATTCGGTTATGAGTTAATGTTATCCTAGTTAGAAGTTAGTGCTATTGAGATTCAAAGCTGGAAAAACATCATCTTTTCTTCCCCAGTAACGAGTGAGTATATTTGCAATCGAAGTAGAAGATTGCTTGATTTCAATTTGGCGTGATGGATGTCTAACTTGAAAACTGTAGAATCTTGGCAATATGTTGCAATTAATCCATGCCAATTCGAAAAACCAAGCTTCCAATTTGAAGAACTCTGTTATCAAGTCAACCTCTAGCTTTAAAAACCTTTGTGATTTTTAACCCAAATCACGCCCCTCACGGAAAAAAAGGCACTCTTTGCACAGTAAATCTAAATCTCAAAATTCTGCGTCCCTACTGCCGCAACTCCCTCCTCCTTCCTTTGGCTGGCCGTTGCCGAGACTGGCAACTCGCCCCCTCCCCTTGTTCGTGCTCTGCGTGCTGTAGCCGGCGTTGACGGATCGGCCCAATTTCAGATGCAGTTAGACCACATCCTTTTCAATGCTCTAAGGCAGGAAGTTGTTAGGATTTAGCTGGGTTAGGTTGAAGAATGATGAGATGTTGCCAAATGCCTCAAAGACAGAATAAGTTTTTCAACTTATCTTCTTTGGTGACTTTGGAAAACTAGGAATAGTTGGGTTTTTAAAAAGAAGTGGGTGAGAGAGGAGAGGGTCGTTGAGTGTGCTAGAGGGGATTGGTTAAATTTCTTAACTGTCAAGAAAGGTGTGAGGGCTGAGGTTACCATTGCAGTTAGAGCATCACTGGCTCTGCTGGCTGGGTGGGATGGGGTGGCATAGCTTATAGATGTTCAGATGTGTAATGGGTTGTATTTGAGGACTTCCTTATATGGGCAGTGGAGGTGGAGGTTTGTTCTGGTAGGATTAAGATGGGTGTTGGATATTGCTTTGAAGTTGAATTGGAAAGCTTTAATCTGCTATATGGATCGCAAGCAGTGGACAAACTTATCAAAAGGAGCAGTTTTCCTTCCATTTCAAGCATTGTGGCTGAAGATATGTATTCACTTTCTTCCTTGTTCGATTCTTCTGTATTTGTTTGGGATTGTAGTGTTTGTTTGGATAGTTTTTCCATAGCAAAATGGCTCTTGAAGGGAGTTGTATGTGAATTTCCTGTTTTCTACTTGCTCCCTCGAGTGTGTTGGAGTGAGTAGGTTGTGTACCTAGTTAGGTACTCGTTGTATTGTGATTTGAGTTAATAAAAGTTGTTTGGTTGCCGTTTGAAAAAAATAACAAAAGAAAAAAAGAGAGAAAGGGTCTGCATAATTTTTTCATCTTCCAATCTCGTTCATCCCATCATCTTTCATCCCCTTTGCTCGTCACGAATCCAAAGAGAAAGAGAGCACAATTTACATCCTATCTCAGTCATATTGTGATGGCAATAGAGGTATTCACCCTTTTTTCTATTCGAACAGTCTCTTCGGAAGTTGGTGGAAACTTTTGGAGATCCACAATTGCATTGCTTTTGATTGACACCAAAGTATGTCTGTTAAAAATGTTTAGAAGTACACACATAAAGCACTTGATCTTTGTTTACAGAAATTGGGTGTTAATATTGGCTTGCAATAGAGGTAAGGAATGTATATGAACTTGTGATTGCTGATATACTTCGGATGCTTCAATAATTTCTTCTAATTTTCTTTCTTGGTGTCAAACGAACTCTTATATATGGTGGAATCTACTTTGATTCGGACATGTTAGTGTTGAAGTCACTATCCAATCTTAATAGATTGGATTCGAGGCCTAGCCTGCTGGAAGCTCTTTGCAATTGCTTGTGTATTTTCTTTCCTTTTCAATTCCACTAATACTTGGTGGGTGCAGTGGTGAGATTTTTTTACGAAATTGCATTCTAACCTGCAAACTGTTAGTTAATTTGATGCATGCAGATGGAGCAGAAACATATATAATACTTATAGATAGGCATAGTTTAAGTAAGATGTGGTATGTGAAACAGATGAGAAACTTCGACCGCATTTGTGATATATATCTTGCATACGAGGATGAAGGATGTGAAAAAAAAAATATTTTGTTGATGTCTGAATTTTGTATTTCTGGANAAAAAAAAAAAAAAAAAATTAGTTAGATTAGATCCCACTATCATCGAAAGGGAACTTAATGCTTTAGTGAGATGAAAGGATATAACCTACCTGCCCATTTAGTGATATTTATTAGAGTAAAATTTGTTAATTCCCATTGCTCTCAAGTTCATTTTAAATTTTCCATTTTAAATTTCTATTGCCGGATGAAGCAGCTTTTGATTGCTGCTATGTTTTTCACCGAATTTGTGCTGATGCTGTGGGCTATATGGGGCTTTGGAAAGGACGGGTAAGAATGAGCAGGCGCCATCTGTTTGTTTGAATGCCAAAGAGGTTTTGTTCAAGCGTATACTGGTATAGGGATGATCTTACGCTCAGCATGCTGCAAACTGTCTTTCAGTGCCTTGATCTCTGTTAGTTTTTCATGTTTTTTATTTTGGTTAGCTTGTTGTGTTATATTCTTTAGATTTTTGCATTTTTATATATTTTTATTTTTTTTATCTAGTTATTGTTTTGCTATCCTAATTTTGAGTCCTTCTCTACTATGTAGTTATAAGTCCTTGGAGTGAAGAATATTTTACTGGAGACAGTATCACATCATATCTTACCACAGGTGTTAGCATCACTGTTATGGAAAATTTCAGATGATCTTTCGGAGCATTTAAATTTGATGGATGATCACTTCGATGAATCAAAAATCGTACTTTCCATGTGTATTGCCATAGGAACGGTTCAAAAGTAAGCAAAAGGCTTTCAAATGTATTCCTCAATTCAATATTTTGAATCTATAATTAAGTTGCTGGAATGTTATGAAATAACAGTTGGGTATAGATAGCAACATATTAATAAATCTGCTTATTTTAGTTGCGATTTTAATGGTTAAATATTAAGATTTAAGAATCCTCTCTCTAAAAGTTACCGTCTTCAGTACTTGTATGCTTTGATTATGACAACAATTTCTATGTCAAATTACAGTTGTTCAGTTTGGAATGTGCCATGTGTAAGAAAATTAATCCTCTCCTTTTACCTTAGGTGATCGAATTTGTGCAACTTAAGCAAAGACTCTAGCGCTCAAGTAAATAACTAATGGATAAAATTAAGTCATTTGTTTTGTAGCTAAAACAACACACATCTAAAATTGAGTCATCTGTTTTATTGTTTGGTCATTATTTACTGTACCTTATAATAAAATTATTAAAATTTAAATCCCAATTCACCCTACCCCATGTTGGTAAATTGTATTCAGGTGTTTGGAGGTGTTGTACGTTCGTATTCGTTGCATGCAAGCATTTAGAGTATTCATATTGATCTGTGAATGAAGTTTTTGTTTTGTAAATGGCAAATGATGAATAAGCCATCAATCTCGTTCGTATTCGTTGCATGCAAGCATTTAGAGTATTCATATTGATCTGTGAATGAAGTTTTTGTTTTGTAAATGGCAAATGATGAATAAGCCATCAATCTCATACCACTCGTCAATCTGATTATCTAACTTACCTTGTTCCCGACCAACTATATGATTCACTATAAACTCACTTCAATCGTCAGGCCCATTCAGATAAGCGTCCAACATTATTGACATGTATACTTGTCATTCTAGTTGGTATTTCCAACTTAAGTTGATGTGATCCGAATTGGATTAGAGACAACTCCAGTCTCCATACGATCTAACCACGAGTATTCTTTGTTCGTTCTATATTGTACTAAAAAATGACGCCTCCCTTTGAAAATTAAAGCTAATATATAATACACTTCCACAAACAATGTCTATATAAAAAGTCTTCATACGATTGTGATAAAAAAAAAAAATTATTTAAATTTTTTCTTTTCATTATTAACAAGTCAAGTTTGAGCGTTAACCAGTCGATATCGAGCTTTAACAATCCGAACTATAGAAAATTATTTAAATTTTTTCTTTTCGAGCCAAACGAACTTTAAATGAGCTTGAGCTCGGCTCGTTAAGGCCTCGAGATCGAGCCGAACTCGAACCTTAGCGAGCCGAGCTAGGCTCATTTAATTTAACTAGTAAAATAGATTAGAAGAGACTAATACAACCCTGCTATAAGAGCTCTTGCAATCCCTTGTTCAGATGGTGGATCAATTTTCTAACACCAGATCATAAAATTGCAAGGGGATTAGAATCATCATAACTCTTGTCATGACCACAATTTGTCGTGCAAGAAGAAATAGTAGCATCATTGCACTAAAAGAAAACAACAATCAAGACAGGGTAGGTACCAAAAGCAGTCAAGGTTGAACAATAAACATGCTAAAGGACCATTACACATAATAGCTAATAAGATCAAAATAAAGAATGCCATTCGAACAAAGAAGGATGCCGCCAAGCCATTTGATCAACGAGCTGAGGTTTATTTTTTCTCCTTGGACGTAATGATCAGTGGAAAGAGGTTCCACGGGGCTGCTACCAAACGGAAAAACAACCACATGCCCTGTTTGATCACGAATGCCGAGATTCTCTAGCATGCGGGAGGATTCTTCACCACAAATATCATAAAGCAGCAAGTCACCCTTAGAGTTCATAATCAGCACTTTATCATTCTTGTAGAATCCCACTACCCTACTCAGATCACCAACATTAGCAGCAGGCATGAAGATCTTTTCCGCACGGGACCACTTGTCGAACCTCCAAACCCAAATCTCAAAACAAGGCGGCTTCTTTTCCGCATAAACACCACCGCCACCAACTCTTCCGGAAAATTCCGAAACAACAACGGCGAGGGAGCCGTGAAACTCGGCAAGAACCACATTTATCTTGGGCCCTCCAATCCTTTTGCTTGGGGGCATAGGGATAAGACGACGCAGAAACTTCTCATTAGCAATGTTAAACGGAATAATAGCGAGATTGTCGTCGGTAATATTGAAAGCTAGCCAGTAAAACATTCCATTTATGTGAAGAGCTTGGTCTTCAAAGGGTCGGAACAGAGGATTAAGAGGATACGGAATCTCCTTCCACGAATCTGTTCGGAGGGAAAAAACTTCCGAGCGGACTCGATGGAAGCCTTGATACTCGAAAATGAAAGATCTAACGACTTTATATTCTTTCTCTGGTGAACGGGGATCGAACCCCACGCCCAAACCCCAACCCGTACTGAATAATGGGAAAGGCAGGGGAGGCCTAAGTGTAGTTCGAGTAAGGGATTTAGTTTCGCCAGTCGTGGGGTCCCACAGAAACTCGAACGGAGGTTCGGGCAATTTTTGGGATGTTAATAGAATCCATTTGAAGTTGGAACACGCTCGAATGATGTAATCGGCGTTTCTAACATTCGAATCGTAATATTTGGCTCTGAGTAGAGATAGGTTGGGAAGAGTGTGTTTTTTTAGTACCTGGAAGGAGTTGTTTTCCGTTGAGATCACGCGGTGATGAAGGTGATGACCTTTGTGTATGTATTGCACAATGAGCTTGAGGTTTTTGTTGCTTTCGTGCTTAGAATTGCGGTAAAGCGCCGGCGCCGCAGTATCAACCGTAGGCCTGAAATTTGCGGCGGCGAGGAGAAAATTGAACTTGGATTTGGCGGTGGCGAGTAGATTGGTGGTGGTTGAGAGGATTCCCATGGCTATGTGATGCGGAAGAAGAGCGACTAGCCGAGACTACTTCGAATTTAGCACTTATTGAAAATCCTGGATTTTTTTATTTAATAAAAATTGTGTAGTTATGTCCATTAACCATTAAAAATGATTGTTAAAATACGATATTTGTTGTTAGGAGAGTTTGTAGTGGAACTAGGGCTTTCAACCAGGTCCCCGGCTAGTCTTTTCTTCTTCCGCATACAGAGCCATGAGAATCTCCTCAACCACCTTCAATCTACTCGCTAACGCCAAATCCAAATTGAAGTTTCTCCCCGCAAAATTCCGTTCTACTAGTTTCCATCGTTTTTCCGCCTGGCCGGCGCTTTCCCCCAATTCGAAGCAGCATCACGACAACAACAACAAAAATCTCATGCTCATGGTTCGATATATACCAAACGAAACAACCTGCGACTACTGCACAATCTCGACGGAGCACAACTCGTTCCCAGTGGTACAACACAATCTTCCCAGCTCATCCATACTCAGGGCTGAAAATTACTACCCAAAATTCAGGAACGCCGATTACATCATTCGAGCTTGTTCAAACTACAAATGGATGCTTTTGACATGTCAAAAATTGCCTGGACCTCCTTATGAGCTTCTGTGGGACCCGAAAACCAACGAGTTGAAACCCCTTCCTCGTTCTCCTCTTCGGCCTCCATTGCCTTTCCCAAGAATGATTTACACTTTTGGTTTCGGCGTGGGTTTTGATCCTCGTACATCCGAGGACTATAAGGTTGTCCGAACTCACTCCTTCGAGTATGAAGACTTTTATCGAACCAAATCCGAGGTATTTTCCCTCCGAACCAATTCGTGGAAGGAAATTACATATCCGCATGATCCTCTGTTCATTGTCATTGAGAGCCTCTCTCTTCACATCGAGGGCTTTTATTACTGGCTAGGGTACAATGCTACTTCACAAACTTGTGTTGTTATTCAGTTCGACTTTGCTAAGGAGAAGTTTCTGCCTTTTCTTATCCCTATGCCCCGAAGCGAAAAGCTCGTGATGGTCAACAATGTTGTTCCTGTTGACTTTCACGGGTCTCTCGCTGCCGTTGTTTTTGATTTTGAGCTGGAGGAGAAGAAGAAGCCTTGTTTCGAGATTTGGGTATGGGGGAATGATGACGGGTGGTCCCGCGTGGACAAGTTCTACGTTCCTGCTGATGCGGGTGCACTTGTTAGGTTATTGGGACTGTACAAGAATGATAAAGCACTCATTCAGGACTCCAATGGTGACTTGCTGCTTTACGACTGTGAGACGGGCGAGTTGAAGAATCTCGACATCCGTGATGAAGCATGGTATATGCAGGATGAAGCATGGAATATGAAGGTTTTCCCCTTTGGTAACAGTCACCCCCTTTCGTGAAAAAAAACAAAAAAAAAACCTGAGCTCGTCAACCGTATGGTTTGGCGGCATCTTTCTTTGTTTGAGTGTCATATGTTGTGTCATTTATGTCAAGTCTTATTAGCTATGTGTAATGGTCACAAGAAAAGCGGAAAATCGAACAATTATAAAATATTTGCCCTTGTGTAATACGTTGTGATTATTTAGCTACTATGTTGAGAAACCGGAAGCTGTTGAAGCTTAGGTAAGTGATTCACACCTCTGGGAAACGAGCACGCCAAGAAGCATTAGCAAGAGCCCTATCTAAGCGAACTTGGACAAATGGTAAAAGAATCTTAAATAAGGCATAGCTCAAC